TTCCCTACCTAATAATTAATTTTTTAATATACCTAACAACCTAAATGGTATTAGTACTGCATATCTGGATATTTCACATTTCTATGCAATTTAAAAAGAATAGGATAAAAGTTTTTTTTTAAAAACGGGAATGTTCAGTATATTGATAAAGTATTTCTGTGTCTAGAATAGTTCTAAGAAGTGCACCTTAGACTGTGAAAAGCATCAGTCATAAAGCAGATGTTTCTCATCTGTGTTTCTGTACTTTTCAACTTCTAAACTGTACCCGTGTGGCCATATTGATTGAATCACCATAGTTACGCTATTGAATGTTTATGTTTTTCATGGAGATGAATAAAATACCGAGTAGATGAATTTATTAAAAAAAATTTTTTTAGGAATACATATTTGATATGTTCAAATTATTTGGGGGCTTAGAGCTGATACAAACTATTGTGAGTAAAATATAGCCTATGCTTATGATAATATTTTGTATTTATAATTTTATAGGATATATGTTTGACATATTACCATTAGAAGTATATTTAATTGAAACATATAATTAGAACAGTTGTGATTTTGTATGTCTCTGACTTAATTTTATCTCTCAGAAAAATACGAAACTTTTTTGGTTTTAGAGAATCCTAAGCTTACATTTAAGAAATTATTCAAACAATTTTAGGTGATCACTAAACTCAAAATTTTATCACCTTTGGAAATAATAATGTCAAATACTGCTTGTGTTGTGGGGAATTCAACCAAGTTGTTTACTCTCATCACAGAAAATTTCAAGGTAAGTGATTTTTATTCTCAGTAGTAACATTCAAGATTGTCTTATTTAAAATCCATTTTATAATATCATCCTAAAGAACAATAATTCGGGTATCTTTACCCTAAAGCACTCACTAAGTACAAGTCCAAAGCTTAGGGACTATTAATACATATAATAAAAGTGACAAGGAATTCACTTACTTGTTTTGGTACCCTTGATATACTTTGCAAAAAAGGAAAAATCTTTTAGGTAATAAGGAGGTTTCCCAGAGTATACAGGAAGCAGACACTTAGAGAAAGCATGGATTTCCTTAGGTATAGCTTCCTGGAAAGTAATTATTGTGCTGCCAGACTAGTTGAAAGTGAAGTTCTTATTCTTCTAGGGGATAGCAACTATCAGCAAGTACTTTTTCTTTTGGAGAATTTGATTTATATTATAGAATTGTTACAGCTTCCCCTGGCAACACATACTGTCTCACCGTCTGTGGGACTGTGACAGGGAAGTGCTCTGGAACCTTATCCAGCCAACACTCTCCCTCTCAATAAGGGCCTGTCTACCATGCGGTTTATTTCTTCCCTTTAGCACATCTCCCTGCTTTGTGGAATGGAGGCTGTGGTTCTGAACCAAGTAGGCAGCATTGCAGTTAGAATAGTTCTTGAGGAGTGCAAATTATTTTCAGAATATTATATTTCGTTGTGTCTGTAGACTTATCTTTAACACATTTGAAACCAAGTTGAGATTATGGTCCAATGAGTTCTTTATAGTTCTTAATATATTCAGCATCTACAGTCATATAAGATTTCTTGTGCTCTTAGAGATCCAGTGTAGCTCAGCTGTCTTTGACTCATTGCCAGAAATGGTTCCTATTGTAAACCTATTGTCTCTATTAGACAGGACTCTTTATCTCTTTCATTCATGACTTTAGACTTCTTTTCATCACCCTTATTTATGTATACCTTTCCATATACCTTCATTATTTTGTATTGATTAAGCATTCTAAGTCCTTTGGTTGTGAATAACAGAAATTCAACTTGAAGTAGCTTAAGTGAAAAAGCAAGTTTGTTGGCTTATGTAACTGGGAAGCCAAATGGTTGGATAGATCCTATCCTTACTCTCATCTCTACTGCCATCTTTCTGTGAGGTTTAATAAAATGATTGCTCATGGCTCCAGGCTGATGTCAACTCAGCTTAGTCAACTGAGAGTAAAAAATAACTTCTTCCTTCTGGTGTCCACATATGAATTCAAGAGAAGGACCCTGACTGTTCCTTCTTTGTTCATGTTCCCACATGTTAGATTAATCACTGTTTCTGGGGGTAAAAGCACTATGATTGATTAATCCCAGGTCATTTGCTTTTTGCTGTGGGGCACAGAGTACTGTAATTGACAGTCCTACATGGACAGAACAACATAGAATGTGGGATAGATGAATCCTCCAAAGGTGAAAACAACCTACATTTACTATGCTTGAGATGTAAGGCAATATAGCATAGTGCTTAAGAGTAAAGGAGCCAGGGACTTCCCTGGTGGCGCAGTGGTTAAGAATCCGCCTGCCAGTGCAGGAGACACAGGTTTGAGCCCTGGTCCGGGAACATCCCACATGCCATGGAGCAGCTAAGCCCGTGCGCCACAACTACTGAACCTGCGCTCTAGAGCCTGCACGCCGAAACTGCTGAGCCCGCGTGCCACAATTACTGAAGCCTGCATGCCTACTGCCCATGCTCCACAGTAAGAGAATGCACCGCAATGAGAAGCCAAGCACACCACAACGAAGAGTAGCCCCCGCTCGCCACACCTAGGGGAAGCACATGGGCGGCAACGAAGACCCAACGCAGCCCAAAATAAATAAATACATAAATAAATAAATTAAAAAAAGAAAAAGAATAGAGGAGCTAGACTGTTGTGGTTTCAAATCCTGATTCTAAATGACTGTGTGCAAGTTAAGTTAACCTCTCTAAGCTTCAGTTTTTATTCATCAGTAAAATAGGGACAATAATAGTATCTACCTCCTAGAGAATTGATATTTTATATAAGGTAATCAGAAATGGTCTCACTGATGAGGTTACATTTGGGCAAAGTCCTGATAGGAGTGAGAGAGAGAGCCATAGAAGTATTTGATATAAAAGCATTATAAACAGAGGGGAAAATCAATGTTATTGTTATCATTATCATCACACTTAGCATAAAAAGACCTCAATTAAATAAGCAATATGAAGTGTAAGGAACATGGACTTTTTAGTCAAAGAAATCCAAGTTCAAGTCTCAGCTCTGGAATATATCAATTGTATATTAGAAAAGTTGCTTGACTTCTCAGAATTTGACTTAGAGGAAGATTGTACTTAATATTGATACAAAACTTACATCATAGGGTTATTGGGAAGATTAAATGAGATAACTCTTCAAACAATCTTGGCACATAACAAATTCCCTACCTGCTTATGACTTTTTTTTGCCGCCTTGCAGCTCTTTCATGGTCCATTGTTATTATATTATTAATACCTTTCTTACCTATTACTTTTATTCAAAGTAGGCAGACCTTTTACTCTGCAGCTGCATGCTTTTTTTTTTTTTTTGCTCTTTGAAAAAAAGTTCCATTATCTGCTTTTCTTATTCTATAAATTAAATTCACCTTATGTAGATAGCATTTCATAGATTTGATAGCCGGAATTGGTATTTTTGGCTTCCCTGGCTAGTGTATTACAAAGATTTACCCTCTCTAAATTATGATAGTGTATATGAGGCTGAATGTAAAACCTTTGTTGCTGTTGTTGCTGTAGAATAAAATTAGTAGAAGTCAGAGACTCTCATGTTTATTTTTTATTATTGTACTTAAATTTCATGTAAATATGGCTTAATAAGAGCTACAGACTGCTATAATTCACTTAGCAAGACTGACCATCATTCTTTTTGTAAATAACTAAGAAAACTTCTTATTTAACTCTAGAAAATAATAAATAATGAAAAATAAACTTTATTCAATATTTAAGTCATCTACCCATGTATGAGCATGTATTTAAGAAAGCAGCTTTGGGCAAGTGCATGAAACTTAAAATTTATTTTGAAATTAAAAATTCTTTTCAGAACGTTAATTTCACTACTATCCAAAGGAAATACTTCAATGAAACAAAAGGATTAGAGTACATTGAACAACTATGCATAACAGAATTCAACACTGTCCTAATGGAGGTTCACTCCAAGTAAGTTAAAATTTAGGGCAAGTAGTAAATCTCTGGTGTGTATTCCAGGACAGAAAGGTCTTTTGTGTGTTTTATTCTTTGCTATATTCCCTACCACCTAGAAAAGTGCCTGGCTTATAAAACACACTCAGTAATTATTGAAATAGTAAAATAGTTAACTAAAATTTATATACAAGGCATATCTTGCTAACTAAACTTTTATGGAATTTCTCCAAATTAGTCATACTCTACTGCCTTAATGGTTCCTGCTCACTTTACTTTGAATTGAAAAGCTCAAGTAGCTACAGCAAACTAGAAGTGTGAGGGTACAGAATTGAAACACAGTTAAAGCTGTGTTCCTGTTACTTCATACCTTTACTCTTTTAGAATGAGACAGGAAATGATATTTTTGGAATGGATATTTCTTATAACATGCTGAACAGATACTTTGAGCCAGGTTGGACCACTTGTTCGCTCAGTTAATCATGACGACTACTGTCACCGAGATCAAAACTGCTTTCCTATACATTGGGACCTCCTGACTGTACCTTTACAACTCTCAGACTTTTTCAACATTATTTGAATGTGTACTTAGAATGTTACATCAAAAATTGACACAAATTACCATTGAATGTTGACTTCTAACATGTGACCTATTGGGACTCTAATATCCCTTAAGTCTCAGACTTTAGAAAATTGTCTCTTTTTATCAACTTTTATGTTTTAGAGGTAATTTAACTAGTTATCAAAAATCAAGAACACTTGGTGTGCTTTTTCCCTTTGATTTTAAGCAATGCTATGCAAATATTTATAATTTTGCTAATATTAAAGTGAAATAAATGTTTTCTTTTATAGCAATACTTTTTTTTATTCCAGAGATTTATAGTGATGTATCTTCGGTCACTTTACAGGTATTACTGCCTTGCAGCTGTTGCAGCTTTATTAAAATATGTTGAATTTATTCAAAATTCAGTTTACGCACCAAAATCGCTGAAGATTTGTTTCCAGGGTAGTGAACAGACAGCTATGATAGATTCATCATCAACCCAAAACCTTGAATTAATAATTAATAATCAAGACTCTAGGTAAGATCATCTATTTTTTTCTTAGAAAATGTATCAGTATATTATGTCATATTTTTCTATGAATAGTTACTTTACATTTCTTTAAATTGTTCGATGGAGAAATATTGAATAAACATATTTTTAATCCTTATACCATTGTTGGTGAGCTGCTCAGATGTTTCACCAAAATCAGGTTTTAAAAATATATTTGTACTAAACAAGAAAAAAAAAGTAACAACCCATTTCAAAACTAGGTAGAAGACTTGAACAGACATTTCTCCAAAGAAGATATACAGAGGTTCAATAAGCACTTAAGAAGTTGCTCAACGTCACTAGTCATTAGGGAAATGCAAATCAAAACCACAATTACCACTTCGCACCCATTAGGATGGTTATTATTAAGTAAATAGAAAATAATTGTTGGTAAGGATATGGAGAAATTAGAATCCTAATCCATTTATGGTGGGAATGTACAATGGTGCATTCACTTTGGAAAACCACATGGTGGTTCCTCAAAAAGTTAAACATAGCATTACCATATGATCCAGACATTCTACTTCTTGGTATATACCTAAAAGAATTGAGAATGGGGACTCAAACAGATACTTGCACACAAATATTCATAGCAGCATTATTCATAGCAGCCAAAATGTGGAAACAAACCAGATGTCAATCGATGAGTGACTGATAAAATAAGATGTATACAGATAAGGTGTATACATACAGTGGAATATCATTCGGCCTTAAAAAGGAACGAAATTCTGATACATGCCACGAGATGTGTGAACCTTGAAAACATCATGTTAAGTGAAATATGCCAGACACAAAAGGAAGAATATTTTATGATTCCATTTATATGAAGTACCTAGAATAGGCAAATTTATAGAGACAGAAAGTAGACAGGTTACCAGGGGCTGGGGGGAGTGGGGAATGGGAGAGTTATTGTTTAATGGATTCAGAGTTTCTGTTTGGGATGATGAGAAATGAATGATGGTAATGGTTGCACAATATTGCAAGTGTACCTAATGACACTGACTTGTGTGCTTAATATGGTTAAAATGCTAAAATTTGTATTTTGTATGTTTTACCATAATAAAAAAAGTTGTGTGCAGAATACTATAAAGTTAAAATAACAAGTTTTAAAAGCATTAAATACAGGAAATTCAAGGGGCTACATAATCATTTGAGAAGGTGAAAATAGTTGAATCAACTTGGTCTTTGTGTATGACTAGATTGCTCATTTTATTGGTTTATTGTTAGCTTTAGTTAGAGGAATATTTATGGTAAGCATGAATAAGACCGAGAATGGGAGATTGCCCATGTGTGTGCACACACACACACAAACACACAGTGTTTATAAGATTTCATAGTGGTTGGGATACCTAAACTAGAATCAAAATGTTATTAGAAGATAATGTAATCAACCTGTGGTGGTGCTTATAGTAGGCATAAACCTATATAGTTTAATATGGGTTCAATTTGGTACAAAGAATTAGCGAGTAATGGTTTTTCTCCTTGAGGAATTACAGTCTAAAGGAGGAGATGCATAGTATCATAGTATCATTAACATGTACTAAGTACATCAGGCCCTCCGTAGCCTAGGGACCCACACTTGGTTGAATCCACAGATATGGAACCTGTGGATATGGAGGGCCCACTGTAGTAGGCCACTTTATATAAGGGACTTAAGCATCCTCGGATTTTGGTATCCGCTAGAGGTCTTAGAATCAATCCCCTACAGGTACCAAGGGACAACTGTATAGTGATATGAAAGTTTGCATAAAAAAATGTTGGGATCATAGCAGAGAAAGAAAGTTAACTGGACTTAGTTAAGGAGTAACTTAGCTGCGGAGCAACTAAGCCCGTGCGCCACAACTACTGAGCCTGCGCTCTAAAGCCCACAAGCCACAACTACTGAAGCCCACCTTCCTAGAGCCCATGCTCCACAACAAGAGAAGCCACTGCAACGAGAAGCCCATGCACCACAACAAAGAGTAGCCCCCGCTTGCCGCAACTAGAGAAAAGCCCACACGCAGCAAGGAAGACCCAATGCAGCCAAAAATAAATAAATAAATAATTTTTTAAAAAAGAAGTTATCCAGATTAAGAAGTAGAAAAGGTAGTAAGACAATGAATAACAAAGTCTTGAAAGCATGATTTTCAATATAGCAATATGGTATGTGCAAGGAAACTATAAGCTGTTTACTTTGGTAAAGTACAAGTTGGGAGTAAGTAAGCTTGGAGTAAAATCTCAGCTTTCAGTACTTAAATATAACTTCGGATATCAATGAAATGGATAAACTTAAAATAATCATAAATTTTAGTATTAAGAGTACTGAATAGAATAAAGAGTACTTTATACAATTGAAACCTTAATGTGCTCACTGCCAATTTCAGAGCCATAGTGTTTAAGTATTTCTGTCACTTTGTGTGCTCTTATCTTGGCTTCACTTTTAATTATGTGAAATCTCCAGACATTATTTACTGTTACAAACTTAGAAACCTATAATATCTAATTTTTTTAATTATTTACTTTAATCATCAAGAACAGTTTAGATCTATCTAGGTACTGTTGGCACTACTTTTAGTAAAGGTAAGAATAGTACTGTGTATACTATTTGTCATTGTCAGTGTAGTGACCTCAACACCTTTGTAGTTCCACTGAATAATGATGGTCTAAAATTATAACGTTTTAAAGGAGTTTATAATTAATTGTAATTATTCCTTTTCAGCTTAGTGAATAAATAATATTTTTTCTATTGCTAGGAAAAAAGGGTTAAAATAATATCTGGATAAAGTACTCTGTCATTGACTTTCTAAATTAAAATAACGTGGGGTAACGTAGACAGTCAATAACCAAGGCTGGTAATTATTACAAAGGGTTTCGTACTCAGTTTTACTTTGTCACATTTCATAGTTAATCATTGTTTACCATTATCATTGTCAAACATTGCTTGAGTTCCTGCTATATATTAAATGATAGGATATTTGACCTCCAAGAGTTCATATTATAGTTGAAAGAAGAAATTGAGATCTCTTCACAGACTTGAACCAAAGAATATTAGGTTAAAAGATGGGCATGCTATTTACTGAACTGTCTGAATAGCTCTAATGCTTCTATGGATTTGTTACTTGTTCAACATACTCTTTCACCCATTGATTTCTATAGCAAATGGCAGATTTAGGTATGCTCCCCACCTCTTTTGTTCCTGCAGAAGACAAGTTCTCAAAATTGTGCCTGTGACTTACCTATGGTGACCCCCACTCCCAGCCAGGACTTGATTTGAATAGTTTCCTAAAAATTTGTTTAAATTGATATACCAAAAATTTGGCAGTCTGATTACTTGAGTCATTTTTATTTCCTTTCCTCTCTTAACCCAGATTCAATATGTCAGAAAATCCTCCTGACTCAACCTTTAGAGTACATACATATTCTGGATCACTTCTTAGCATTTCCGGTGCTACAACCCTAACCCATACCTCCATCATGTTAGCCTGGACTACTGTATAGTGTAATAGCCCCTAACTTGTCTCTCTGCTTTCTTCCCCTCCTACAATTAGTCTATTCTCAACCTAGTGGGCAGAGTGTGATCCTTTTAAACCAGAAATTAGATCTTGGAACTTGCCTGCTTAAAATCTTCCAGAGCTCCTATTATATTTAGAATATAAGTCAGACTCTTTACCGTGGCCTACAAGGACTTCTGTGTTCTGGCCTCTTTCAACTTCTTCATTCATCTCCCTTAATTCTTACCCTCACTTGCAGTGCTCCACCAACTTTGGTCTTCTTTCTGGTTCTGGAGCCAGAAAGACTACCTGCGCTTAAATTGCTGCTCTGTTTTGCCCTTTTAAACAGTAACTCTTTTCTTGTTCACTATTTGGAAACCTTGGTCAAGTTACTTAATTTCTTTGTGTTTCAGTTTCTTCCCTTGTAAAATGTTAATAATAGCATCTATCTCATACCATCATTGTTAGAATTAAGTAAGTCAATATATGTAAAGTGCTTAGAATAAGGCCTGGCACATACTTTGTGTTCACTATATGTTAGCTATACTCACCATCAATTGTCATCATTATTCCCATCTCATCATCATCTTGGCGTGGATGCCTTCTTAACTCAACTGCCGAATATACATACAGGTCTTTCTCAACCAACCTAACTAAATCAACCCTCCTGGTCATTCTCTGTACAGTTCTGTTTGTTTGTTTGTTTTTAACAGTTTCTGTACCTGATATTATTTTCTTTCTTTCTCTTTTACTTATAATTCTCTAACTTCTTAAGTTAGAACAGAGTGATTATATTACTCATTTTATCAGTGTAAAAGTTCTCCCCTTAAGGATGTGTTGTTGATATCTTGCTATTATTGATGGAATGCCATGGACTAGAATATTTTATATTAGTCTGAGTATTGTTAACTGATCTATGAAAGAAGCCATTAACTAAATGCAAGAAGATTCTGTTGATCTTGTTAATCAAAGTGTGCTTCACTGACTGACAGCATACCTGAGAGTGTATTTGAAACGTAGATTCTCAAGCCTCATCCCAGACCTACTGAATCAGAATCCTCATGTGATTTGTACACATATTAAAGTTTGAGAATCACTACCATAGATTATAGGATTATTTTAAAAGTTAAATTACAGTTTTATTGGATTTTCCTTAGTATACTTAATGAAATTTTCCTAACTTGTGTTTTTAAAGGAGCAATCACACACTCTTTGGTGTTCTAAATTACACTAAGACTCCTGGAGGAAGTAGAAGACTTCGTTCTAATATATTAGAACCTCTAATTGATGTTGAAACCATTAACATGAGGTTAGATTGTGTTCAAGAACTGCTTCAAGATGAGGAACTCTTTTTTGGACTTCAGTCAGGTAAATGAATATCATCTACTTTTACAAATACAAATTTTTTTTTTGCGGTACGTGGGCCTCTCACTGTTGTGGCCTCTCCCGTGGCGGAACATGGGCTCCGGACGGGCTCCGGACACACAGGCTCAGGCTCCGGCTCACAGGCCCAGCCACTCCGTGGCATGTGGGATCCTCCCGGACCGGGGCACGAACCCGTGTCCCCTGCATCCGCAGGCAGACTCCCAACCACCGCGCCACCAGGGAAGCCCAAATACAAATTTTTTAACAAAATACATTGTCTTCTTAAAAAGATACCAGTCCTGTTGGATTAAGGCTCATCCTAATGACCTTATCTTAACTTGATGACATCACCAAAGGTCCAATTTCCAAGTAATATCACATTCAGATACTAGGGTTTAGGATTTCAAAGTTTCTTTTTGGGGGATACAGTCCAACTCATAACATGAGGTAAGAGAATTGCCCTTGGCATCTGTTCACTGGCATGGCAGTGCAATTTTCTTCTTAAATCTGTAGGTGGAGGGGCAGTTTATATGCACTGATCCGAGTCCAGTTCCTGGTTTCTAGCAACTTGATCTGTCTTCCATAACCTCACTTCCCCAACCTCCCCTCCTGTTGCTCTGGAGGTCTAAACGGAAGTGGTACTTGAAAATCTAGAAGGCATTTACAGCCTTTAGGTTTTCCTAAGTCCAATTCTAAATACCTTTTAATTAGTATAATTTCTTCAAAATTCTGACATTATACTGACTGTGACTCTGCATTTCCAATGTTGTTTTGTATATTCATTTTTTTCTATATATTCCTGTGTATTTTGTGAGGCTTTGGGAAGGGTACAAAAAGGCCACTTTTTAACTGGTCAGCCTTGTTCACAGCAACACCTTATCTCTCTTTTTCCATTAAACATCTTTTTGAAAAACAAATTTTCTGCACACACTATCTTCTCTTCATCACTATGTCTTAATCAATCAGTCTTGTTTCTGTGCCCACTCCTGCACTGAGACTGCTCTTGTCAAGGTCACTATAGCAGATATTGTTGATTCTCTGTCCAGATCTTCTTGGGTCTCTTTTACCTTTCTGTGTGCCCCTTTTCCCTGCTATGTGTGCTTTTGCTTCTAATGGGCTGTACCTGGACTCTCTTTAGAGGCCTGCCCTCAGGCTATTAGAGGGCTTTGCTCTCAGGCGCGGAGTGCCAAAAGTGCCTTGCAGACCTTAAATGACTGAACGTTGTGGGAGTATGAAAGCCCAGCTGTCTCACACTGTTTTGGCAAAAACCATGAATGTAACTTAAAGTCCACAAGCCTTCTACAGGATTGGTTGAAGTTACCTTCCATAGGACTTTGCCTGAAATTATACTTTTGTTTGGCCTTTTTTCTCTTTCCTGTCCTTGTCTTCTTTATTGGTTTCTCATGGAAGCAAATTCTTAATATATTACTTGCACATGAATCTTCATCTCAGCCTCTGCTTCTGGAGCACCCAGCCTAAAACATTCACCCATAGTCTCATTGTTTTTAAATTTAATGGACACATATTAGTTCTCCTATTTGAAATCCAACTTCTTTGGTGCTGCCAAAAATCTCTCCTTATTGAATTACTGCCTTTCTTTGCTTCTGTGATTATACAGTTTCCTAGTTTTCTTCCTATTTCTTTGGAGTTTCCTTTTTTTTAAGCTCTGTCACTCATTTCTTTAACAAGTTTATGACTATCCAGTCAAAACCAATGGGGTATCTCCCTTGTAATGTTATCTTTACTATTTCCAAAGACTACAGGACTGTATACTGTCTTGGAATGTCTTCAGAAAGCTCTGTCATTGATCAGGTAACAGAGTAAACACCCCAGAGTCCTTTCTTTCAAATGGAAGTGAGAATGACTTCTGAGTCTTCTTTTTAGGCTTGTTTTCCTTTGCTCATTCTCTAAATGCTATGGCTCTTCAAAGGTATGTCCTGGGTTGTCTTTTTACCCCGTATATTCTTATTATATGATTTACCCACCTTCTTGGTCTTATAATTATCATTCACGTATTCGTAACTTCCAAATTTACATCTTATGTCCAGATATCTCTATAGACCTTCAGCCCCATATATCTTATTGCCTACTGAGCACTTATTAGATGTTCCTTAATCACCTCACATTTAATGTGTCCAAACTGTGCCATCTTCCCTTCTAAATCAGTCCCTTCTGATTTCAGAGAATAGCTCTATATCCAAGCTGTTTACCAAACCAAATACCTGGAAGTCATTCTTGACACTTCCCTTCCCTGAAATTAATCATCAAATTTTGCAAAGTCTCTTTTCTATATATCTCTTGCATGTTTAGCTTCTATTCCCAATGCTGCTGCTCCAGCCTGGGGTACCATTTATCTATAATCTGATTTATTGCAGCAGGCTTCTGTTTGGCTTCCTCCTCCAGTCTTGTTCTTTACAGTCTCTTCTCTATATGAGAGCCTGAGAGATCTTTTGAAAATATAAATCTGAGCATATTACTCTTCATTAGTTTCTTGTTGTTGATGTAACAAAGTACCACAAATTTAGTGGCTTAAAACAACATGAATTTATTATCTTACAGTTCTGGAAGTCAGAAATCAGTTTTGCTGGGCTAAAATCAATGAGTTAGCAGGTCCACCATTTCTTCGGGAGGCTCTAGGGGCAAAACTGTTTCCTTGCCTTTTCCAGTTTCTAGAGGCCATCTACATTCCTTGGCTCATGGCCCTTACTCCATCTTCAAAGCCAGCAGAATAGTTTCTTCTCTACTTTCTGACCTCTGCTTTTGTCCTTATATCTTCTCTCTTTTGACTGATCCTCCTCCCTCCCTCTTTTTTTTTTTTTTTTTCTTTCTTTTTTGGCCACGCGGCTTGTGGGAACTTAGTTCCCTGACCAGGGATAGAACCTGGGCCCCCGGCTGTGAGAGCACAGAGCCCTAACCACTGGACTGCCAGGGAATTCCCCTGCCTCCCTCTTATAAGGACCCTTGTGATTACTTTGGAACTAACAAATAATCCAGAATAATCTCTCCATTTCAAGATGCTTAACTTAATCCCATCTTCAAAGTCCCCTTTACCAGATAACATATTCAAAGGTTCCAGGGATTAAGATGTGGACATCTTTGTGGGGCTACCACATATCCACTTGCATAAAATCCTTCATTCTCTTCTCATTACTTTTAGGATAAAATCCAGACTCTTCTGGATGGCTATTTCTTTATCATCTCCCACAGCATCTCTTGTTACTCGTCACTTGTCATTCTGCCTTCTAGTATAATTGAACTTCTTTTAGTTACTTGAACATATCCTGTCTCATGTTCTGGCTTTTAAAATTTTTTTAATTTAATTTATTTCCATTGGGGTATAGTTGATTTTCAATATTAGTGTCAGTTGTACAACATAATGATTCAAAATTTGTATAGATTATACTCCATTTAAAGTTATTACAAAATAATGACTATATTCCTTATGCTGTATAATATATCCTTGTAGCTCACTTATTTTATACATAGTAATTTGTACCGCTTAATCCCCTACCCCTCTCTTGACCTTCCTCCCCACCCTCTCCCCATTGTTAACCACTAGGTGGTTCTCTGTATCTGTGAGTCTGTTTCTGTTTTGCTATACTCTTTCGTTTGTTTTATTTTTTAGATTCCATGTATAAGTGTTTGTCTTTCTCTGCCTGACTTATTTCACTAAGCATAATACCCTCCAGGACCCATCCATGTTTTCGCAAATGGCAAAATTTCATCCTTCTTTTATGGCTGAGTAGTATTCCATATATATGTACACACACATATACCACATCTTATTTATTCACTCATCTGTTGATGGACACTTAAGTTGCTTCCATATCTTGGCAGTTGTCAGTAATGCTGCTGTGAACATTGGGGTGCATGCATCTTTTCAAATTAGTGTTTTTGTTTTTTTCAGATACACACCCAGGAGTAGAATTGCTGAGTCATATGGTAGTTCTATTTTTAGTTTTTTGAGAAACCTCCATATTGTTTTCTACAGTGACTGCACCAATTTACATTCCCACCATCAGTGTATGAAGGTTCCCTCTTCTCGACAACCTTGCCAACATTTGTTATTTGTGGTCTTTTTGATGATAGCCATTCTAACAGGTGTCAGGTGATATCTCATTATGGTTTTGATTTGCGTTTCTCTGATGATTAGCAGTGTTGAGCATCTTTTCATGTGCCTGTTGGCCATCTGTATGTCTTCTTTGGAAAAATGTCTATTCAGGTCTTCTGCCTATTTTTTAATTGGATTATTTGTTTTTTTGATATTGAATTATTTGAGCTGTTTATATATTTTGGATATTAACCCCTTCCTGGGTATATCATTTGCAAATATTTTCTCCCATTCAGTAGACTTTTTGTTTTGTCAGTGGTTTCCTTTGCTGTGCAAAAGCTTTTAAGTTTCATTAGGTCTTGTTTGTTTATTTTTGTTTTTATTTCCTTTGCCTTAGGAAACAGATCCAAAAAAATATTGACCATTCATGTCAAAGAGTGTTCTGTCTATGTTATCTTCTAGGAGTTCTATGGTGTCAGGTCTTACATTTAGGTGTTTAATCTATTTTGCATTTATTTTTGTATATGGTGTGGGAAAATATTCTAATTTCATTCTTTTACATGTAGCTGTCCAGTTTTCCCAGCACCATTTATTGAAGAGACTGTCTTTTCCCTATGGTGTATTCTTGCCTCCTTTGTCATAGATTAATTGATCATATGTGCGTGGGTTTATTTCTGTTCCATTGATCTGTGTGTCTGTTTTAGTGCATATCATGTTCTGGCTTTTGTACTCTGTAATATTTGTCTAGAATCTTTTCTCTTTCGTCTCTGTAACCTCTTCTCCCAAGCTACTCTTTAGCCAACTGCAGTTCATAATTTACCATCCTAGTTTAGATGTCACTTCTAGAAGCCTCTCTGACTCCCCAAGTCTATATTAGGTATCTTTTCTATATGTTGTCTATAGTATCTTGTTATGGCACTTATCTTACAGTATTGTAAGTGAATGTTTTGTTGGATGATTCCCATATGAGTCTAGAACATAATGGGTGTTCATATTTGTTAAGCTATTGATTTATTATTAAACATGTTGAAAATTGTATTCTCTTGTTCCAAAGATTATAATGGTCTATATGATGAGATTTTAATGAAAAACTTGGATTTTATTTGAAGCTTTAGTTTTCATATATTTTAAGTTTTATAATTCCTTATAATAGAAAGTTTTAAATTGACATCTACAAATGTTAAATATTTCTATATTTTCTTTATTTGACAGTTTATAATTTATCTTAACATGTAATAAAGTAGGAGAGCAGGAATACAGAACAAGGGTAATTTTTATAGTTTATTAAAATATGAGAGTGTGAACCTCATAAAAAGTACGGTACATACTTCCTTGTAGGCATTCTACAATACGGATGAAAACATGAAGATTAAGTTATAAGTTTTTGTCCTCAGGGATCTTACATTCATGTTAGAGACACAGAACTCTAAATAAATAAATATGATACAGTGTGAAAAACACAATAATAATTTAATATTTTGTGGAAACATAGAGGAGGGAGCTGGGATAAATATAGAATCCAGGATTCACAGAGATAATATTTTAGCTCTGTCTTAAGGGAATGAGTAGGATTTTGACAACAGGAGAATTCTAGAAATGATACTCAAGACAAAGGGAGCATGCCTGAGTAAGGTATGTTGATGTTCATAGGGGTAACAAAAATGCTTTTTGGATGCAGTGGCTGGGATAAAGATCCAGTATGGCTGCTGCTGACTGTGATCTTGAGCAGTCATTACTTTCTAGGGTACACTTGTTTTTCTGGGAAGCTGAGGAAGATAGAGTTAACATAAGCTTCTGCAGTTATACTTACATTGTTATAAAAGAACTTGCTGTATTTAAGGCATGGCCAGTAGTTATTTATGACTTGAAGCCTTGGGGAATGGCAGGAAATGAGAATTGAGGCTGGTTTATGAAAAGCCTTTTTATAATGCTAAGAAAGTTGGATTTTATCCTGAAATCAATAAGGAGGTGATGATTCTAAACCAAGAGAGTAATATATATGGTCAAATCCTTATTTTAGAAACATTGTTTGTTTGTTCCAGGAGATTTTGGGAGAGGAAGAAGGAAGAGACTGAAAAAGAGAAAGGCCAATCTATGTGAGGGCTTAAGAGAGTCTGACTAGTGGACTCACATATAAAATGTCACGGTAGTATAATATAATAGTATAACAGTATAATAGTATACTCAGCCTATTTACTCTAATTTTTTAACCACAGTTTTAACATAATTACCATAGAAGTGGTAATTTAGAAAGAGGCACAGCTCTAGAGGTAGGCAAACTGAAGAACATCAAAAGTTTGAACAAGAAAAAAGTGACATAAAATTTTTGTATTTAGTTCTTTTTTTTTTAAAGGATAACAGTTTGGGGCCACTTTGTGAAAGTATCAATAAGTTTACACAAAAAGTTTTGAGATCACACATTACAATGATGATAATAACCATGAGTCATTAAGAAATAGTTACTATAGTTTAAGGTAAAGAAAAGAACACCTGGGGACATTTAAAAGGGATAGATTCCAATTATCTATACATATACTTTTATAGTGTACTTGGAGGTGGAAAATGAGTTGAGAAGAATAAAATAACAGTTTTGAGCTCTGGTATGTGCAAAGTACTTTACACATATTATTGCACTTAATCCTCACTACAACCCTAGGAGGAAGATGTTATTATCCACATTTAAAACATGAGAACAACTAAAGTTCAGAGAAGTTATGTAACTTTTGAAAGGTTATATGGTTAGTGGTTGAACTATGCTTTCAAACTAATCTCTGATCTTTTAAGTATCATGTAGAAAAGTTAGAAGTCAAAAAGGTGGGAAGAAAATTATGATAAGCAACATCTAAAAGTCAGAGAAGTAGAGTTTCAAAAAGGAAGGGGTGATCAACAGTGGCAAAATTTGAAGACAAGTTCTGAGTAATCAAAATTAGGAAAAGACCACTAGAATTTACTATTTTACTCCTGGTAAATGTACGATAGATGAAGATAATTCAAACAGGTAATATTTGCAGGTAAAACTGTTCTGTTCTATTACTTGAGGATAATATTTTACATAGTGTATATTTTAAAAATGTAACATAAAGTTTAACTGCTCATAGGTTCTGTTTGTTTGTTTCAGTTATAGCAAGATTTCTTGATACAGAGCAGCTTCTTTCTGTTTTAGTCCAAATTCCAAAGCAAGACACGGTATGTTTATGTATAAATTATATGTTAGATTGTTATACCTTATGTGATATAACTTGTCTTAATATGATGTAACAATTGGAAAATATGAAAATCTTTTGGAAAAGTACTTCATTATTAATATCTGGAGTATTATGCCTTTTTAAAGGAAACTTTTTTCCTCAATGTATTATCATATATGATATGCTTAAAATTAAAAGTTTCTTAGGTGAGGAATTGGTGTATTTTCATTAATCAAATATTTACTTAAAGAATTTGGATATAGTTTTCAAAAACCTTAAATTATAATAATTTGCTTAATAAACTAGAGAAAAATTGTTTTAGTTCTAAAGGTCCTTTAAAAGGTGATCATTATGTGAAGTTTGATTAGTTTTCAAATATGCTTAACATTTAAGAATGAAACAAAGTCTTTGGATATTTTACAAATTTAAATACTTAGTGCCATATATACAATGGAATATTACTCAGCCATAAAAAGAAACGAAATTGAGTTATTTGTAGTGAGGTGGATGGACCTAGAGTCTGTCATACAGAGTGAAGTAAGTCAGAAAGAGAGAAACAAATACTGTATGCTAACACATATATGTGGAATCTAAAAAAAAAAAGTGGTACTGATGAACCTAGTGGCAGGGTAGGAATTAAGATGTAGACATAGAGAATGGACTTGAGGACATGGTGGGGGAAGGGTAAGCTGGGATGAAGTGAGAGAAGCATCAACATATATATACTACCAAAGGTAAAATAGTTAGCTAGTGGGAAGCAGCAGCATAGCACAGGGAGATCAGCTTGGTGCTTTGCGATGACCTAGAGGGGTGGGATAGGGAGGGTGGGAGGGAGGCTCTAGAGGGAGGGGATATGGGGATATATGTATGCATATGGCTGATTCACTTTATTGTACAACAGAAACTAACACAGTATTGTGAAGCAATTATATTCCAATAAAGATCTAATAAAAAAATAATAAGTAAATACTTAGTGCCTATAGGCACATTCTATAAAGAAAGTAATAGATGGTTTTCATTCTTCCATTTAAGGTGAAGTGAAAAATATTTATTTTAATGAAATACATGTACAGTTGACTGTTGAACAATGCAGGGGTTGGAGTGCCCCCCTCCCCACCCCCCATACAGTTGAAAACCCATGCAGGTGTGTAACTTTACAGTCAGCCCTCTGCATAGGAGGGTTCTGCAACTGGATTGTGTCATACTGTATTTTTTGAATAAAATCCACCTATGAGTGGACCCGCACCATTCAAACCCATGTTGTTCAAGGGTCACCTGTGTATTTTTGCTCATGTGCTTAAAAAGGAAAGACGTCTTGTACATCAGTAAAATTTGATTTAAAATTTGATTACTTTGCAAATCCATTGAAGGCTTATCTATGTTTAAGAAGCCTTTCCATATTGTAGAGATAATGCTCTTAAGGTTCATTTACAATAAAAACATTATATGGAAAAGTTTTGGCTGTTGGGCAGGCAGAGAATTGGAAGTTTCCTTAAATAATTGAAACACCTTAAAATTCAATATATGCAAATGAGAGGTAACTTAGAACAACTGATGTCTGGTACAAAATTAGTTGGTTTCCTACAATGAGATTAGAAGCATTACTTCCTCTTCAGTTTTCTCATAGTGTTTGTGTAGAACTGGTACTATTTCTTCCTTAAATGTTTGGTAGAATTCACAAATGAAGCCATTAAAACTTGGAATTTTCTTTGTAGGAATGTTTTTGACTCTAAATTCAACTTCTTAAATGTTTAATAGATATGATGCTATTCAGGTTACCTGTTTCTTCTTCTTCTTTTTTTTTTTGGCCATGCAGCTTGTGGGATCTTAGTTCCCTGACCAGGGATTTGAACCTACAACCTCAGCAGTGAAAGTGCAGAGTCCTAACCACTGAACCACCAGGGAATTCCCAGAATATCTTACTTTTAATTAGGGTGTTTATTTCATTTGTACTTAATGAGATTATTGATATGTTTTGATTTAAATCTGCCATCATGGTACTTTTTTTCTATTTGCTTTCTTTTCCTTTTCTTCTGCCTTCTTTTGGATTAATTGAGTATTTTTTATAATCCCATTTTACTCCTCTGTTGATTTATTGGATAGAACTCATTGTTTTATTATTTTAATGGTTGCTTTCAGGTTTATTGATTACATCTTTAGCTGAATTTAGTCTACCTTCAAATAATATTACATCACTTCACATATGGTATAAAAACCATAGAGTAGTGGCAACAGAAGCAAAAATAACACAAGTTGGGAGTATATCCAACTAAAAAACTTCTGCACAGCAAAAGAAATAACCAATAAAATGAAAATGTAACTCCAGAATTGGAGAAAATATTTTCAAATCATATATCTGATAAGGAGTTAATATTCAAAATATATAAACTCATGTAACACAATAGCAAAAAAATAAAGAACCTGATTAAAAAATGGTCAGAGGAACCAAATAGATATTTTTCCAAAGAAGACATATGAATGACTAGCAGGTGCGTGAAAAGGTGTTCATTATCACTAATCATCAGGGAAATGCAAATCAAAACCACAATGAGATATCACTTTTTTAGAATGCCTGTCATCAAAAGGATGTAAGATAGCAAGTGTTGGTGAGAATGTGGAGAAAAAGGAACCCTTGTGCATTATTGATGGAATGTAAATTAGTGCAGCTAAATTTATGGAAAAGAGTACAGCAGTTCCTCAAAAAATTTTAAAAAATAGAACTACTATATGATCTAGCAATCCCACTTCTAAGTATATATCCAAATGAAATAGAAGCAGATTGTCAAAGAGATATCTACACTCCCATGTTCATTGCAGCATTATTCACAATAGCCAGGATACAGAGACACACACACAGACACACACTGGAATATTATGCAGTCGTGAGAAAGAAGGAAATACTTCCATTTGTGGCAGCAGGGTAGCATTGAGGGCATTATGCTAAGTGAAATAAGCCAGACAGAAAATGATAAATACTGCATGGTTTTGTGTATGAGAAATCTAAAAAACGAAAAAAAAAAAAAAAAAAGCACACTCACAGAAAGAGAGAGTAGAAAAGTTGTTGCCAGGGCTTGCAGATCAGGGAAATAGGAAGAGGTTGGTAAAAGGGTACAAACTTTCAACTATAAGATGAATAAGATCTGCAGATCAAATATAAAACATGGTGACTATAGTTTATAACACTGTATTGTATAATTGAAATTTGCAAAGAGAGTAAATCTTAAATGTTCTCACATACAAAAAGAAGGATAAATATGTGAGGTGATGGATGCATTAATTAACTAGATGGGGGGATCCTTTTGCAATGTGTATGTACATCAAATCACCACAATGTACACTTTAAATATCTTACAATTGTATATGTCAGTTATACCTCAATAAAGCTTAAAAAGAAAACCTTATGGTAGTATGCTGCCATTCCCCCCATTCCTCCCACTGGGCTATTGTCATATATTTTATTTCTACATATATCACACAGTTTATTTTTTAAAATATAACAGCTTTATAAAGGTAGAATTCACAAAGCATACACTTCACCCATTTGAAGTATACAATTTAACCATGTTTTGTATATTCATCGTTGTACATCAAACACTACAGTCAATTTTAGAACGTATTCATCACCCCAAAAAGCAACACTGTACCTGTTAGCAATCACTTTCCATCCCTTCCAATCCTCTTCCCCCCAGTGCTTGGCATTTCTAATCTATCTGTTCCTTTAGATTTGCCTATTCTTGACATTTCATATAAATAGAATCACACAATATGTAGTCTCTTATGTTTGGCTTTTTTCACTTAGCATAATGTTTCAGGTTAATTCATATTGTAGCATACATCAATATTTGATTCTTTTTTTTTTTTTTTTTTTTTTTTTTTTGGAAGGGGTACGCGGGCCTCTCACTGTTGTGGCCTCTCCCGTTGCGGAGCACAGGCTCCG